TTAAGTAGCTAAGAATGCTAATACTAATATTTTTTAATTTAATAGGAAGTTTGTGGAATAAGTAATATATATACCATCCATATATGAGTAATGTTTTCTATCATATGTTGTGTGTTACACGTATGTTTGTGTATGTTATGTGTTTATATTATGTGTTGATATATGATTGAAATATATGTCCCATGTTTAAAAACGGCCAATTTCTAATAAATTGGCACATCACATATATGTCAATATATTTATAATCCATATATTGCCATATATGGATGCCACAGATCTGCAAGAGTTTAACCTCATTATGTGAACATAGCCTTGCAGAACCCCTTGCGTGTGACATCATCGCCACTAGACATTTTACCTTTGGTCAACATTGTCAACCTTTCCATATTTCATTGGTCCTTTAGGTCTGAGATTTTATAGGATAGGAAGACAATAATTTTGGTTTTAAGGCCGGAGATCTGTAAAGGATAAGGAGCTGTTTTGTTGTTTAGTTGAGTTATTGTGTTTGAGTAAAAAGGTAACACTTGGTAAGGAAAGTGCAGCTGCTTTCCTCAGGGATTCAGACAAAATCTTAAACATGCTAAATTTAACTAAAAGATTTACTGAAACAAACAGCCGAATACCTTTGACACTTGATCCCTGAGCTTTTTCTTAGCTCAGGATTTCAAACAGAATATTCTGCAAATTGTCAGAGACTTTTTTTTTCTCCCTGGCTTCTTCCCTAAGCTCTCTCTATGTCTCTCTCTCTTTCTCTCTCTCCCTCTCTCTCTCTCTCTCTCCCTCTCCCTCTCTCACGCGCTCTCTCTTTCCCTCTCACGCTCTCTCTCTCTCTCTCCCTCTCTCGCGCTCTCTCTCTTCCTCTCTCGTGCTCTCTCTCTCTCCCTCTCTCGTGCACGCTCTCTCTCGCACGCTCTTTCTCTCTCTCTTGCTCTCTCCCTCCCTCTCTCTCACTCTCTTGCTCTCCTTCCCTCTCTCTCACTCGTGCTCTCTCTCTCTCTCTCCCTCTCTCTCCCTCTCTTCTCTCTCTCTCTCCCTCTCTCTCTCTCTTTCTCACTCTCTCTCCCTCTCTCTCTCTCTCTTACTCTCTCATGCGCTCTCTCTCTCCTTCTTTCCTTCTGTTACCCCCTTGTGCAATATCCTCATTATTATTTTAATGCTGGTAACATTTTCTGATGATGTTCTCTCAGGACATTCACCGGCTTCTTCGAATTTTCCATTCCCACCTTAAATGACGCAGCAGTTATTGTAACGCCTCAGGTGCCACAATGTAAATTCTGTGCCATTTAAGGTGGAACAGGAAAATTTGAACAAGCAGCTGCCGAAGCTTCAGCTTCATAGAGAGTTGAAAGGCATGATATGAGCAGGTTGCTCTGTTTCTGCTTGACAGCTGAGTAACATTAACTTATTTTTGCTGTTTCACAGAACCGACAGGTCAGTATTGGTTTGTCCCATTTGCTAATGTTTGTGATGCTAATCACAACTGCTGCACATTTAAGGTGGAACAGAAAACTCGAACAAGAAGCTGTGAAAAAGAAGCTCAGTTCAGCCTCGTAGTTTTAACACAGGTAGTATTTTTGATAAGGAGTTTTAGCTTATCAGAAAGTCCTACCTAGAGGTTTTATTTACAGATATACCTGTAAATATGCGCTACAGTACGACATTTCCATAATCCTTACTGTTGTGCAGCTTGGTGACATTAAATTGATTTGCAGTAGCTTTAGCTTGCATGTAGCAATATTATTATTAAGACTCTTTCATGACCTCATGATTCAGTGGATCCAGTCAAATTCGGGAGAAAAATGTACACACAACAAAACGTATCGGGTTCTGAACATTTTTATTTATCACAGAGTGCGATAGAGGCGATTTTTTTGAAACCCTATTAATTTTGGCCATAGACAAAATGGAGCTCAGACCTGAAGTTCCTAATATGGGCATAATGTGGATTGTTGTTTGTGTGTGCATGTGTATTTGGATGTATGCATGTTGAGAGTGTGTGCGCATGTGTGTGTGTGTACGTGTGGGTGGGAGTGGGGGGTGTGCGTGTGTGTGTGTGAGATTGGTCTCAGGTGTAGTCAGTTTGCCAAGCAGGTGCCTGAATATGAGGTTTCCGTGGCAACAGTAGGTTTGATTGTTGAAGGGCATCAGAGGCTCGAACAGAGGGGGCTTTTCTATCTGAGAGAGCGAGACAGAGGCGCCTGGTGCTGAGGGGCTCAAATATCATTAACTTGAAGAGCACTGCCGATTAGTTTATGATGATTCAGAAAAATCTTGGCTGGACTTTTTAACTTATCCTTTTAGCTGCTTCTTCACAGTAGCTGTGCTCGGATCACGGTGGGTAGCGTCTCACTGATACTGTCAGTTCTTGCAAAAGAGAACACAAACTCAGGTATTTTCTCTGGAATGTTTCTCTATCATGGTGATGAGCTGCTTCAGTTCTGTGAAAAAGTATTTGCCTGATTTATTGTATTTTTGTCACAATGAAGTGTTTCAGATATACAAAACAAAATTTACAAGGCCCGGCTGAGTAATCATAAAACGCTTTAACTGATCATTTTATTTATTGAAGGAAAAAACAAACCAAACCCAACTAGCCCTCTGTGAAAAAAATGTTGCCCCCTTAGTTACTCAATCAACCAATTAACCAAACTTAGTTGTTAATCGGGATCAAACAAGATGGTTACTAAGTTTAGAGAGCGATTACTTATTGCTATGTGGGTGATATGGGTGTTACAAAACCTTTTAATATAATGATGTTTTTTTTCCTTCAGTAATTGAAGTGATCATTAAAAAACTTGTTTTGTGTTTCCTCGTGTTCACGTTGTCTTATTTTCCATTTTGAATGAGAATCTGAAACCGTGTAGAGTGACAAATGCAGAAATAGAAATCAGGAGGGGGCAAATACTTTTTCATGGCATTGTGAGCACCAGTTTTGCCTTTTATGATTACTGTCAGATGGAATTATATTACAGCTTCCCAGTTCCTGTGTGTGTTTTATGTATTTAGAGTAATATTTTTATTGTATTGGCTTTCCAACAGGGTGGCAGTTGTGTGCATATTTTAGGTAAAGGCTTTGTAAACATTGAACTCACTGGGCCTCATTATCCAAAAAAGTTTTTTTTCTGAAATTTTTTCCTGAGGAAGATCCTGAGAAAAAGTCTCCGTCAGATTCATGACGTGTTCTTAAAACGCAAAACTGTTCTCACCTTTGTGCTCTTGAGTGTGTGTAGATTCTCCTCTTCCCTAAGAACAAATCCCAGATAAGAGAACATTGGTGAACAACAAAGTGTTCATAAAAAACTGGGTAAGTGGGTTTTGAAAGTGGTTCATTCTTTCTTTCTAAGAATGGTTGGTGAACGAAGTCCATTGTTTCCAGGTCGCCATTTTCAGAATGTACCTAAAACCTCATGCAACAGTTTCACTTGTATATGAGAAGTGGGATTTCATTAGGGGTGCGGGAAAAAAACGATTCTTAGATGCATTGCGATGCAGACGTGGACGATTCTGAATCGATTCATAAATGTCAAAAATCGATTTTCTAAATATTTAATTTATAACGTAATGTTGACGGAACGCAAAGGGCGGAACCTGGAAGTGGGAAAGTGCAGCGCCCGGACAGTCTGTGGCGGCACATAACAAAAACCACTGGGTGAGTGAGAAATCCGACCGGCTCCCTCTGCATTAAAGCCAGGTTAGATCAGGAGTCACAACACAAATGATAAGAAGAGCCGTTTTGACCTTTCAACAAAAATCAAACCAGCTTGGGAGCCACAACATTTAATGTCCAGCATGTCTCATTGTGTGCTGATGTTCTAGTTTAGGCTATAAAATATAAACGAGAGCGCAGATTTACTCTGCTCTGCTTTAAGCTTCGCCTACAGCCGCTTTCCTCCCATCTCCGCCAGAAAACATTTCCTCAAAAACTGAATAGTTTCTTGTAAAATGTCTCTCAGCTTTCGGCTGTTTTACGAGGCTGAAGTCGCTTCTCACTCGCCAGCTTCTTGCTGAACTTTCCCGTTCCACCTTAAATTCTGACTGAGGCGCCGAATGTAAAAGCGGCACCATTTAAGGTGGAACGGGAAAATTAGAAAGAGAAGCGACCGTTTAGAGTTTGACAGCGTCTCGTTGGAGATTTAACGTACCAGGAAACCAACTGCGCTGCTTATAAATGCGAATAAGTCCATTCATCTCCACATGTTCGTCTTTCACTTTTCCTTTTTCGTTCGTTTCACTCGGAGAAACCTCGTTGCTAGGTGACCTGTAGTCTTTCGCGCCCCCCCCCCTTTTTTCACGAGACCAAAACCGAAGTTATGAAATCACTACAGACTATATAATGTGCTGCGTGGTCATCCATCACCACAGGACCTTATTTCACCGTAACAGCGCATTTTATCGCAGATGAGTGGCAGCAGCGTCTCCTAACAAGAGCAGTGAATGAGAGCCTTCCAGTTCACTGACCACATCACTTCCATTAGTTTTATTAGTAAAAGATATTGGAAGTAAATTCATTATGGATCATTATAGATACTTAGCTTTAAAACTACAAAGTCCTCACACAGTAAGAAAATAGAAATCATGTATAGAAAAAAAGATGCATCGATAATCGTTTTATAATCGCATCGCAGCCTCTGAATCGTAATCGAATCGAGTCGTGAGGTGCCCAGAGAATCCCACCTCTAGATTTCATCATTAGATATTAGAAGGAGTTTGCAAGCTGCTTTTTGCTCATTTTTTGTATTAATCATAGCAAAGTATACCATCTGCTAACACGTAGTAATGGGGAGCTTTTGCTCTCAACAGTGTCTTCAGTATTCAGAAATGTATTTGCACTAATAAAGCCTGACGAGTAGACTTTATTCTTCATGAGCACAGTTTTAAAATACAGCAGAGAGCAGCTCCTAATGATAAACCTCATACTGTGTTAGCTCACACTGATAAGTAAAGATGAATAAGACATTTTCAGTGAAGTGTGTGTGTGTGTGTGTGTGTGTGTGTTTCAGATCTATCGGCGCTGCTGGCTGGTGTTTAAGAAATCCTCCAGTAAAGGGCCTCGCCGTCTGGAGAAGTACCCTGATGAGAAGTCAGCTTACATTAGAGCCTGTCCTAAGGTACACAACACTCACTATCGACAGTACCTCACAAAAGTTTGAAAACACCTGAAACTGTATAAACTTACCTTTACTTAATACTTCATTATATGATCAGTGATGCAAATTCAGTATTTAGTAAAATACAAATACATTTCAATTAATTAGGCACCCAAAGTTATATTTTAGCAATAAAGTGTAGTGTGAGTACAGCTAGGCGATATGGCAGAAATGTCATATGATACTTCAAGAAGTTTTCATGGTACACAATATGTCACAATATTTATTTTTTTTGACATTTGATAAGTCAGAACAGACAAAGTAGTGCCACATTTAAAAAAACCCCAAAACTATCAAATACTATACTATTCAAATACTATCAAAAATTATTAATCCAGTGATTTGGATTTAGCAATTTACATACTGTGCTGCACTAAATCCAGTTAAACAGGACTAATTATGCAAAATTATGGAGTGTTTGTTTTTGTCTTTTTGGGCCTTCTGCCCACCACAGACATTGCACTTTGGCACCCCAAAACAAAAATTCTGGGCATCTGGGCAGACCTGCTGTATAGAAGGACATGCCGGATGATTTTCTGCTGAAACTGGTGGCCTGCTTTGATTTATGTTCCTTATATTTTTTGTTATATATTGTTTCATGTGTTAAGTTTTACGTACCTCATAGTAAAGATGGGGAAAAATAATGATAATATTTGAGTTTAAAAATGTTGTCAGTACTCGAAGGCCAGTCAGTAGAGATTTCATTAGGAGTAGAAAGATGGTGTAGTAGGTTACATGCTTGCATTTCATGCAGGACAAAGGAGTTCAGTCCCACTGTTCAGATAGGAATCCTAAATTGCATTGTATTCATTAATATTCAGTGTCATTAGGTGAGAGTCCTAACATTACCTTCACCTGCCTTTGTAAACTGTACTGGATAAATGTGTAAACTTGAAATCTTACTTAAATATCCTTTTTCTACTTTACAAACAAAAAACAACTGCTTTATATATATATATATATACAGCTTTTAATGTTGATTTGTTTTACAGTTCTGTTTTGCTCCAATAAAAAGACTGAAGTGAACAAAATTTTCTTTTAAAGGAATAAAGTAATTACAATTACAACATTATTACAATGTCATATCACAAAACATCACATAATTTTAAATCTTTAAACCCTTTGCAAAGTAGCCATAAGAGGCAATAATTTCATATTCAGAATATGTTTAGAGTACATAAGATAACACTGCATTATTCCCAAAGGGAAATTAGTGTTTCAGCAGCAAACACACAAGACCAACATGGAAGACATGAATGTAAGATAAAAATTGTAGAAAAGAATAAGGAACTGTATACAATACTATATAATATATATATATATATATATATATATACAAAAAACTTGCACTTGTCTGTAAAAGAATTGAAGTTACCATTACTGCAAAAGTTAAAGTCACAGTTACTGTTATAGTTACTTTTGCAGTTTTATAATAACATGTAGAGAACATATTGATAAGGCACAAACTTTTTTTTTCATGTAATTCTTTTGCTAATGTTTCATGAAAAATTCACTTCTTTAAATGAAGACACAACATTCGCAACATTATTGTGTTTTTTGCCTGTTTCATTCCCACTGCCATCTCCGGAACTAATTCACCATTCCCAATAACTAATTCTTGTAAATTTGACTATATAAAGTGAGTAGCTGTGTGATTTTTAGTTATGTATGAGCCACTACAACATCAATGCTAAGCTTATCACTCAAGAACATGTCCAGTACTGGAGACTGTTCCGTCATCCCTCAAAAGTTCAGTAACACTAAGATTAATAGCTGACTCATCATATTGATTGATCAGTCTACTCAGGCTTTAGCAGAAACATCAGTGTTTGTAAAGAAGCCGTTTTTGGAGTTTTTCTGTGTGTTGCCTTACATACTGCGCACAGATTTTAAAATAGTTTATTCTAAAAGTGTTCTAAAAATTTTAAAGGTTACTTAAAAAGGTAACTATGTTATGAATACTGTCTTAACAAAATATAACTTGGACTGAATTTAGATACCTTATTTCTGTATTTTGAATACATATTCTCATTACTTGTATACCGTAACATCACACCATAACATCATATCATAATACCATGTCATACCACGGTCATGCAGCGATCCCCACCCCAGCCTTGCTGTATTTATCCAAACACAAACATTTCAATATCAAAAAATATCTAGATACCAACAAGGCATCACAATGTCTAACGTAAGTGTGTCCTAATGAATTTATAAGAGCAGTTAAGAAATTTCAAAATCAGGTCTGAAAATGACCAGCTGTATATGTCTGTGTACATGTGTGTGACCGCTGTCTGAATCTGTCCTCTCACTCTGAGGCTCCCTGTTTGTGGTAATCAATACTTCAGGCAGGAGATCATCCTCACCTTTACACACACACACACACACACCCCCACCCACGCATGGATGGTCTGTCAGAGATCAATTAAAATGGTTGAAATAGGAGTATGTGTGGTCCCACCTGCCGATCATGCCCACTCTATCTGATCCACTCTCAGTTGCTTTGTCAGCTTCTTCTCTTCTTCATTGCTCAGTTAATGCTTTTATGAGATGATGAGTCTCTTAATTTCTTGTAATGGCCTCTGCAGACCACAGACATAAAGACACTGCATTAACTTCTGCAAGTAAATTTTCCTCAAAATCCCAGTGATTTATACATTACTTCCTGCCCCGACTGTCTACAGGTGACAGAGATCAGTAATGTGAAAAATGTGACGAGACTGCCGCGCGACACCAAGCGCCAAGCTGTGACCATCGTCTTCACTGATGACACCTCTCGGACTTTCACCTGTGAATCAGGTAACTCTTCGTTGAATTGTATTGAGACGAAACACGCCCTGTGTGACATAGCCTTTTCATATTCTTTCTCTTTTTTGGGATTTAAGTTTTGTTTATTATAATATTATAATTTGTGAATCAGAACTGTGAGGTAGAATTGCTTGACTGTCCTACATGCCTTCTATGTCTCATGTCTCTGCTATCAAGGCCTTTTTGGGGCCCTAAGTAGTATTTGTTGGGCCCCCCATCTTGCTAGCTGATATACTGTAAGATTATAGGATAACAAATAACTAATTACAAGCTGTGTTTGAATTATATACATGTATAACTGGTTAGTTGTGTATTGCTGATAATTGGGGTTTTAATAGGCTGCGATTTTAAGTTACAGATAACCTTCTCAGCATTTTCAGCTCTGTCTCACGACACAGTATTTTTTGTTTACCCAGCTAAATTTAAGCTTACACTCTTAGCGACACGGGTTCTATACAGTACTGGAAAAGTTTTTTTTGACTCGTAACAATAGTGGAACCCTTTTTGGTGCTATATAGAATAATTTTTAAAAGGGTTCTTTAAAGAACCATGTACAACAGATTTCCATCATAGAGAAGAACCATTTGACGATGCATAGAACCATTTATGCGTTCAAATGGTTCCTTAAGTGTTCATGGTTCTACACAGAACCATTCCCTTTACTAAAGAGCCCTTGAAGAACCATTTTTGTTGAGAGTTTAATTTGATCTGGTGACTGTGGCGCCAGCGTTGCTTTTTTAGAGTTAGTGAGTTTAGGTTTTAGTAAGTTCTACTTTGTACACATTTAGGTAGCATGATTTCTTTTTCCCTCTTTGGTTTCACGTGATTGGCTGCTGGTCATAAACATCATGCTTTCATGTTCACATGAGTAGCTGAGTTGCTATACCTGTATTAATTATAGCCTTCAGTGTTTAAACCTGGATTAACAGAGAAAGTTGTTAACCACTGTCGTAAAATCAGTAAACTGATTTTGTTTGTTAGGTTTTGTTAGGTTTAGTCAGAAAGTCTGCCAGAGGTGAACCTGCTTCAATACACAGACCCCAGATCCACAACGTCTTGTTGTCCAACTACAAGCCAAAACAAATGGCGTAATGTTAACACAACAACAACAACAACAGAAGAACATATCTTAAAGCTGTTTCTTTTCGTCTTGTTCTTTTTTATTTTTGGCTCCAGATGTGTAGACCTGATTAACCAGCTGCTTTTTTCCTCTCATTCGAACGTCTTAGATAACATTATGGTACACTAATAATCCAAAGTTATTAGGGGGGCCCCCTGGTGGCTCTGGGGTCTAAGCAGCTGCTTGTGTTGCTTATAAGGTAGATGCAGGACTGCTTTTGGGAACTCTGTAACAAGTGCATTGTCAGCAGTGAACATAGTACACAGTACAGTTTTATCGTCTGAAGCTCTAACCTGTAACCCTCTGAGCATTTGTGTTCTGTCCGTTAGAGCTGGAGGCGGAGGAGTGGTTTAAAACCCTCTCAGTTGAGTGCCTGGGCACCCGACTGAATGACATCAGTCTTGGGGAACCTGACCTTCTGGCCGCCGGAGTTCAGTGTGAGCACAAAGGTTGGTTCAGACTTCAAACTCTGTCATAATCACTGAATGAGTCTGTAACTACTATACCTAAGAATCCTGTACATTCTGTAATGTAATGACTTGATCATTGATATTTACTCAGACGCTGTTTAATTTTTTCCCCCACAGTTTTCAGTATTGTTAATAGAGTAAACATCAAATTTACACAATTTTCTACTAATTACAGCTGGAGATGTTTGGTGTTCAAATTTAGCTTCTTTAGTCCGGTTCCCGAGCTGTGAGACTGATGTTGCTGACAAACACTTTACATCCGCAAAACTTTCCTCAACCCAACTAAACCACATCCTGGTTTTAGTTAAGGTCACACAGACTTGAGCATGTGCTTTAGGGCACAGTGTGACTGACTGTGCAAAATTTGACAGTGTAACTAGACAGCAGGTGCTGAATTCTGACAAAGTCTGACCACAGAATCAGACTCCCGTTCACGTTCACTTGTTATGGACATATGGCTTCTACATTTAATTCATAATTTCTATTGTTTATTAAATATGTGATGTCTTTAGTTTGGAAACTGCCTGAGTTACATGCATTCAAATGATCAGTATTTGGCTCAATATCTGTTGTCTAAAGTGATTAAAAGGTTAAAACCTCACTGTCTCTGTGACGTTGGCTGTGCTCTGATACCTGGACTAATGCAATTGGCTTGTCCCTTGTTGACTCATCTAGAGCGATTTAATGTGTTCCTGCTGCCCTGTCCCAATCTGGACATCTATGGAGAGTGCATGATGCAGATCACTCATGAGAACATCTACCTGTGGGACATTCACAACCCCCGCACCAAGTTAGTCACTTGGCCCCTCTGCTCGCTCCGCCGCTACGGCCGTGACGCCACCCGTTTCACCTTTGAGGCGGGCAGGTAAGAAACCGTGGGTGAGGCTTTAGTAGCCATCAAAAAAAGAGGTAGCTTCCAAGTTGGCGGGCACCCTAGAAGGTGTAGTGAAGTGATCAGGTGTTGAGATTCTGTGTCCACTGTAATTCTGTGATGCTCTTTAGTGGATGTATGGAAAAAAATAATATTATGATATAATTAAGGTTTCTGACAGTTCCAGTATACATTTTGGCAAAGAGTTTTTATGAATATTTGATCAAAAACATTTTGGATGTTTAAGTAAATCTATTTTTGTATATTACCAATGGCATATTAATGTCCTTTCACTTTTAATAAGAACCATTTTTAACAACTGAATTAAGTCTAAAATATATTTGTTTGGCAAAATAATAAAGACAGATATTAACAAAATTAATTTTTATTTAAGTCAGTATTGCTTTCTTGCCCTAATGAGATAAAGGCAAGGGCATGTAAATGCTTAATGTCTCTTACACTCGAGCTTTTATCTACAAGTGTCAAACTCTGCTGAAATTTGGTAAATATTTCAAAGCGTTCGTGCTATCAGTATTAGCTGAGAAGAACATCGATAAAGAACAGACAGCCTTAGAAATATACATAGGAAGAACAGTGAAGAAACACTGTAAACATGAAACATTGCAATCTCTTACCCCAAATCTGTTGCATTATGCTCTTTGACTCTAGTTCAAAGGTCCATATTAAAGTCACAAAACCACACAAAACAGAATAATGGATCGTCATGAAATCAGAAGTAACTTGGGTTGTTGACCCCACTTCAATAGGAACACAGAAAAGGTTTTATTTTCTTATTCCATTTGATTTATTTATAGATTTTTTTGAAAAGCATTGTATTTTGTTCAGTATCTGGTTCAGTAGCATATTATGAATGCATGATCCAGACCAGCACATCTCGAGGAGACAGACACAAGCAGAGGTGAGGTCTGTTGAACTGAGGACCTCATAAAGAGATTGATTGAATAGATTAGAGGAAATTCAATGGTGGATGAGGCGTTCTTATCTCCCCCCGGCGCTTTGATCAAATAATAAAGAAAGATTTGCAACGCCTGCAGGGTGCCCCTGAAAGGACAAAGATAAGAATATTTTGGAGTAAGAATGTGCAGTTCTACACTGCCCCCTGCTGGTAATGAGGGTATTACACGTGCGTGTGTCTCTGTGTCAGTAATTACATGAGGTGAAAAATTATTTTGAGAGGTGTACTGTAATTTGAACAATTTCCAAAAAGATGAAAATGGTTGATGAAGGACAAACAACCACCAGATGCCCTTCTTCAGCCCTGTATGTCTTCACTACAATTAAGGATGAATGCTTTTAGAATAGCTGTCAATGGGAGTACCAAAACATAGCCCATAGAATGCTGTTCAGACAAGATGTTTTTTGTTCTAAATTTGTTCTAAATTATTATTGTCGTTTGTAAAGTGGCTTTTTTGTGTGTGTGTGTGTGTGTGTGTGTGTGTGTTTTAGGATGTGTGATAGTGGTGAGGGCCTGTATACTTTCCAGACACGGGAAGGGGAGCAGATCTACCAAAGGGTCCACTCTTCTACGCTGGCCATTGCTGAGCAGCACAAGAAAGTCCTCATGGAGATGGAGAAGAACAGTAGGGTGAGTGTCACTCAGTCACTCACTGCCACGTGCCTCATCATCTATTCCTGTAATCCTGCTTTTAAGCATTAGGGCTGCATGACATGGACATGAAGTGTCATGTTTGATAAATATGTGTTTGTTCAGATGACTACAGTTGTATACAAAAGTTTGGGTGCCCCAAAATAGTTTGGTTTCTTTTCTAAGTGAAAATAAAAATCCTCTGCAGAGAACACACTTCTGCAATTCTTTAATGTACAATAAATGTTTATTTGCTGAATTTAAAGTATTGGCAGGAAAAATAAAACATAAAATGTGTCCTGTGATAAAGTTGTTATAAAATTTTGTTCTTTTTAGAGAATGTGTTAACTAATTTTCACTTTTAAAAATCAAGAAAACAAGTAGTTTGACAAATTTTGTGTCACTGACTGGGTGTGTAACAAGTGTCCTAACAAGCTGTGCATGCATGTGTGCTTTTAATTTGGCTCTGTAGCATAGTGACTAAATCACTTGCTCTCTATACCGCATTACCACCTCTCTAATTATGTGACTCACGCTGGGTGTGTAATATTAAATGATCCATTCTGTCATCACAAACACTCATACATATCAGTATCTAACGTATTATGAACACTCAATACAAACTCTGTTGTTCTTGTTCTCAACTGCTGGTTTAGCTCCTATCCAAAGACTCAGACGCAGGCTCCTACCCCTGCACGCCCACAGCCATCTTGCCTCGCAGTGCCTTCTGGCACCACATCACAGGAACACAAGGAGGAATGGACCCCGCTAATGGTAAAGACCCTACGTAGAATCTATGAATATTAAGTAGTGGCATCAAAGTTGACGCTTATATAACGTTAATGTCATAAATTACTAGTGACACAATTTTTTTTAGATGTTAACACATTTTCATAGTTTGACCCTTTATACCATTTGGAGTTCCAGCCTGAACCCTGACTGCTCGCTTGCTGTCGCTATGACTCCATAATTGTTGCCCTCTCATCCAAACACAGCTTTTAAATCACAAGAATCATCCTTTGATTACTATCTTGATAAAGTTATTTCCAACAGTGATGTGGAATGCTACAGTCTCCCTTTGAAACAAGAGGTAACGTAGCGGGTATGAGTGTGAGAGCTACAATAATGTCATTAAATTATACATATATTAAATTATACATTATATATTTTATAAAGCCCCCAGCATTGGGCTGTAGAGCATCTGAACTGCATTCTCTGGAGTGATGGCGCACCATCCACTATCTTTGGAATGAGCTGGAGTGGTGTTTATTATCCAAAGCTAATCATCCAACATCAGTACCTGACCTCACTAATACTCTTATGGCGGAATGCAATCAAATCCTCACAGCAATATTCCAACATCTAGTGGAAAGTCTTCCCAGAAGAGTAGGCAGCTGTTACTGCAGCAGAGGGGAACAAACTCTCTGTTAATACCCCGATGTCAGAAGATACGTTGGATGAGGAGGTGTCTACAAACTTTTGAACATAAAGTGTACACTGAGGTGCCAAAAGTCATCGGATAGCAGTATTTAAATAGATTATGAAGCGGTGTTACCTCAGGGGACGGCTCGGGAACCACCACACCTGCATAAGTTGTGAGGTGTTATCTTGTGAGTGAGGCTGAACACTGGTCAGAGCTCATGGCAAGGAGATGTGAATTATCAGAGTTCGAACGAGGCAGACAGATGGAACCATTTCCGAAGTTGTGCAGGCATTTAACATTCCTCGATCCACAGTGTCACGTGTGTGGAAAATGCATTACCACCCACAGTGGACAGAGAAGTGACCGCCCACGGGTGCTCAGTGATCGTGACCAGCAGCGTCTGGCTAGCATTGTCCGTGCAAACAGACAAGCGACTCTGGCACAAAATCACACCCACATTCAGTACAGGAGGCCCCCCACACATATCCCACAGGTCAGTGCTGCGTTCTGTAGTTTCCATGGGATATGGGAGCAGAAGACTTACCAGAGTGCCTCTGTTAACGCCTCGACACTGGACAAAGCGCCTCACCTGGGCTCGTGATGTTGCTAACTGGATCCTAGAAGACCGGCAACATGTGGCGTGGTCAGATGAGTCAGGGTACCAATTGTTTCGGGCTGATGGTAGGGTTTGTGTGTGGCGCAGACCCCATGAAGCCATGGACCCCAGTTGTCAACAAGGCACTGTACAGGCTGGTGCTACGATACAAGTTCCTGTCCCATGACTTTTGTCACATCAGTGTATATTTCTTGTATCTTGGTTAAACTTGAGCAATATGACAAATGTGATTAACTGTGATTAATACACAAAATATTACAATATATATCCATGATCAGTTTGTTCCATTGTTATACCATCCTAACTCTTCTCCTGTATGTCTCTTTAGGTGAGATGTACACTGGCTGTCAGTCAGGAGCGGAGTCTGACCTCTTTTCTGCACACCTTCCCCCAGAACACAACTCCACTCTTCCAGTGGGCCACAACCGACAGCACTCAACACATTACCCCACTTATCCCAGCCAGTGAGGGGCTTCACAGAGAACACCTTTAGGTTTCGTGCCTGAAAATTCCTCCAAACTGTGCTCTGTCCCAAGTCTTCTCATCTGCCTCTTCTCACCAGGGGCAGATCTTTGACACCATGCTGCCCCCAGCCATCCCTGAGAGTAGCGGAGGGCCCTTCCTGAGAGGAAATCCATTGTTAAGCGTGGAATGGATTTGGGCTTTTTTGCAAACGTGACAATAACACAAAGTTTTTTGTCATAACGTTGGTATTGACGCAGTTGCCCACAGAGGTCATGGTTTTTGGCAGGGGGCAAGACTTTAGGTTTATAATGCCTCTATCTCTGTTTCTGTAACCCATGCACGGTCTCTGTCTCTGTCTGTGTGTTGGTGCATGTCTCCTGTGACTGTGGGGGAGTTTCAAGATTAGTAGCAGGGCTGCCTTTGGTTTAGATTATTTGGAATACTTCCAAGAATGAATATAAGAGTATAGAACTAGAGTAGATAGGCTTCCACTTCACCTTCCTGCCAGCTTTTACCTACTTCAGCACTGAAACTCTTGTTCTGTAGCACGAGAGCACTAAAATTCTGTCATGCTTTAAACACAGAAGCTCAGTTTAAAAGATGTGTCTGTGACACTTCCCTCAGTCTGGAGCAGAGGGAGGAACTTGAGAGAAACCTAGGTTACTTCTGTGAGGAACTCTGAGACTTTCCATCCTTCATTCACTTTTCTTTTCCTTTCTTTTGTCTCTCATTCTCCATGGTGAGACACCTCAAGGTGGATTTATGCCCCTCTGCCTTCTCAAGAATGGTGACTGAGGAGTTTTCGCAGCATGGAAAGAAAAGACAGAAAAGTAGAGGAAAGTGACAATGAGATGTTCCCTGTGGTGGATTAATCCATCATTTACAGGCTGCAACAGCCTGTGACTCTTCCTGCTCACTAATGCATGAAGCTGCTGACCTTGTGAAGGAGACCAGAGCTCCATTTTGTCCAAATGATCTTCTGAGGGTCAGAGCTAAGCGTGACCTACAGGTCCACAGATAAAGAAGCCTATTATGGATCTGAAGACTGAGTTTACCCAGTTGAGGTGGTTAGGTGACATCTCTTGTTGGATTTTTGTAAACAATGTGTATTTACATTAACCAACAAAGCACAAATGAATGGCATTTTACTGCAGTTAACTTTCCATTGGTAGCCAAAAAATCCTGCAGCTAAAAAAATTGTATGACATTGCAGATGTGACTCAACGTTATTCCTCTGAAGCAGTAATTTAGCATAGTAGCAGGTGTTTCTTGAGATACTTTATGTTCATGTTTAATGTTTCATAATAAGCTTCAGTAGGAACAACATCATCTGCATTTTTTTTTTGCTTTTGTTTTTGTTCTAGTAAGTATTTAAGGAATAGGTTTGGTGACTTACCAGAAGTTTCTGAAAGAAACATTTGCATCAGATTTGCAAAGGGAGTTCCAAGACTGCTTACTGTGTTCCACTCGGAAGTCTATTGCTTTTATTGAGTCCAATATTCAGTGCCCTAAACATCTCGGGATTACCTCTCCTAGCCATCCACTTCCTCATGACCTTTACTATCTGCCAAACTGAATGATCCTCTCTACCAAGTGGGATTCCTGAACTGCAGTCTGTGGAGATTCTTGGTAACATTATATGTTATATCCTTGATTCTTTGTCATCCCAGAGAAGTTGGTGTCATTCATTATGTTGAGATGCACTGAGCTTTATGTCTAATGCTTATTCAATGCTGGAATCCATAAACATGCATGCAAACACTTGGGCACACAAACACACACACACACACGCACACACACACACGCACACACACTGTATATTATTTATGTCAAACAAAAGAAGGGCTAAATTTACATGCACATGTTTCTCTTCTAAATTTTGTTCTTTGTGTAAACTGTTTCTGCCACCCCACTAAGCTCATGTATATAAACTATTTATTTCACAATCAAGTGATTGTATGTTAGTGAGCAAAAGGGAAGCCACTCTGTGTGTCTGTTGATTGTCTGTATGTATGGATAATGGAGGATGGACTGCATCACAATACATATGTAGGTTCTCCACAGTTCTTTGTGGGGATCTTTTTCAACTGACTGTTGAAATGTGTATGTGGGGGTTACTTTTCATAAAGGGAAAAAACACCTTAAAAGAGTGATGTTTTGTTCTCCTGGGAGCTTCTGCGCAAATTAACAATACTTCTACATCCTGTACCCATAAATGAGGGTTTGTGTGTGGTAGAGTGTGCGTGTTGTGTCCATTAGTGCTTTAGAGTTTGTATCCTCCACACCCCTCTTTGTTGTCTTATAGAGAACTTGACTTGCCGTTTCTCATTTTCATGTGTCGCACTGCTCTTCTTGCTGTTATCACACTCGCTTTTCCCTGTTAAACTGAACCCAAGATAAAGATGGTAATAGCTGAAATTAATTATGAGCTTCACACTATATCAGCGTCCCCAATGAATGTTAAGACTGCCAAAGGAAGGCTAAGCGTATCTTAAGAATGAATTTAGATCATACTTCAGAAAATTGACGAAGTAAACTATGGATTATCAAAACAATACAACTCATTGGGTATGTATGTATATATGTGGTAAATAATTAATGGTGTAAGTTTTCACCTGTGGGGAAAATCACCTTTAGTCTTGCAATGAGCAGTGAGTGAATAATTTTTTCATAGATAGTTATTTGAGACATTCACCAACACTGTTTATAACTAAAAAACATTGATAACTACAGCACTGCCGTGCAGCAATTTGTAGGGTCCTTCTGTTATTTAATATCATTTCACAGTCTTCAGAATTGATTTGTTCTCACTGACAATTCACGTGTCATCTTTTAGATATGCTAATGTATTATTTATATAGTTAGTACTGCTAATAATTTATAGAAAAATAAGTACTGTGCAAAAGTCAGAGAACACCCTTCATTTATTTATTTTCCAGTCAAAACAGCCATTAAATACAAGCTATTCATTTTTTAGCATCAGGAAAACATTTGACAGAAAATTACACAGAATCCTCAACCACTGAAAAGGATATCAGTATTTAGTGTGTTCACTCTTTGTCTTTATTGCAACTTCCATTCATTTCAGGGACTTCAGTCTTGGAAGTTGGTGGCATTTTTTGCTTCTCTCAATCACAAAACCTGTTCAGTGATGTTGAGGTCTGGACTCTGGGAAGGCCACTCCACTGTTCTGAGAACACCAGCAGCTTCTTTGTTTGATTTGCAAATTATGTTCTTTCATTTCTCAGTAACAGCTTCTTAAAAGCCACCCATCCTTTCAGAACCATAGCGCAGAATTGTCTTCTCGATGTTTAGCACAGCTGTTTTTTTAGATTGGCACAAGGTTGTTATGAGTCCCATTTTCTTGAGATCTTTAACAAGTTTTTGAATTTTGGTTTTGGAAACTCCTGTTTTAACTTATTTTCCTTTGACTTTCTCATTCTTATGCAAGTGGTTTATCTTACATAATGTCCTCAGAAATACCTCCATAAAAATTAATTGCGTGTACTTGATGGCTGTTTTTGACTGGAACTTAAATAAATGAATAAAAATGTGCAAATTGAGTGTTGCAGTGTCCTACATGTGAAACAAAAGCATCGATACCCAAACTAACCGATCTTAGTGAAACACCCAATTGGCACATCTCATATACTTGACACAGTATAATGTGGGTTTAAATTAAATATTCCTGATGAAAAGCTATAACATGGGTGGGCAACTCCAGTCTTGGAGAGCCAGAGTCCAGCACAGTTTGGCAGTTTTCCTGGTCAAACACACCTACTAACCTGTTAATTTGGTGGAATCAAGTGTATCCGATCTTCCACCCCTGATCTAGAAGATCTACATGTCCTTGCTGCAAAGCACTTAAGTACTGAAACTTCATCATCCCTGGTTGTTGTTTTTATGCATTTTCTCCATTGTCCAGCGAAGCCTGGCTGCTTATAAATGCTACAAGTCAGTTTCCACATGAAGGGCCAGTGATAAAGTCAGAACCGTACCAAAATGTTGATTTTTTTTTTATTCAGAACTCTAAAGCTTTCTGTTTTCTTAGAATATTGGAGAGACAAAGCCAGTGCTTAGACAAATAAGATCGAAGCATGTCGCCATGGATGGGAGCCTGTCGCATGAGTGCACTTCACAAAATACCACATATGTCATGTAATATTTGTGGTATGTTTTGCATTTTTTTACAATAAAATATGTTTTTACACTATGAAATTTAGAATGATTATGTTTTTGTATTTTGTTTTTGTAGCCTCTACACTTTAAATAATAAAACCTAAGTCAGGCCAACAACCTAAATGTGCTTCCACTATATTCTTGATGAAAACAATACATTAAAGACCTCAGCATATGAGCAATTTTGACTGCTTTGCACAGTCGATTTAGAGAATCTTGGTTGTGTAGGGAAGCACCAAAGGCACTTTATCCAAATTTAAGTCAGCCTGTCTAAGTGTAATTGAATTATAGGACAAGTTATCCGGATATTGCAGTTAAAATTACATGGCTAACCCCATTATTTGGCTTTGGGAGGACATAGTTTTCAATGTAATCTACGATGGATTACAGATGGTTACATTTCCAATCTCTCCTCTCTGTAAGAGGTGAGGACAACTTGCACAGAGCCACTGTGTCACTTTGTTTGACTGGAGTTCTGTTTCTGTTCTGCTCAGAAAAACTTCACCAGGTATGACAACTTTTGTCTTCATAATTTATCATATGTCCTAAGTGGTGTGAACTGTGGCTGTTGGAGTTCTGTCAGTAATGTCAGCCACAGGCAGCGTCGTCAGAAATTATGTGCAGGATTCTAGTTTTGAAGTAGAAAGAGTCGTTTCTCTTCTAAGATGTGATTGTGTGCTGCTGCAAAAAAAATTTTCTTGCTTGCAAATGAATCAAAATATGAATATTTAAATTAATAATGTGTGAATTTAATCAACATTGCCTTTTTGTTACATTTTATTTGTAACTACTTGCATTAAATTATCAAACTGACTCAATTTCTAAATAATTTTCAGAAATGGTTGCTGTCATATTAAAACCATTCCAGTGGCCAGGCGCCATGCTTTAATAAAGTAAGCATATCCTCTACAAGGAACACGCTTAAATATGTATTTTTCCTTCAAATACCAGTGCACGATTTCTGTTTATTTGCCAAGTTTTACATAGTAGAAAAAAATAAAACACCAAATATAAAAATGTTCCATACCTTTTGCACTTGTCACACTTTTTTCTTTTTTTTATATATATATATATATATATATATATATATATATATATATATATATATATATATATATAGCAAATAAATAGTAATTGAGTCTCTCTGTAGAGGATGTGTCCTTATTTTCACTTAGAAAATCTACAAAACATGGAATTTGACCAAAGGCGCTCAAACTTTCATGTACTGTTCTACATCATTTGAGCTCTGCAACTGCTTTTTACATTGTGAGTAACATTTCATGATGAATGGGCCAATAGAAATGGTTCCATTGACTTACATTACATTAAAAGTAAAGTATGTTTTTTCCTTTTCCTGTAAAGTTACCATTTTGGAGATCTGAGGTTTTGTTCCGATAACAGCGACATGCAGTTTGGCCACAGCTAATGTCTTTGGTGTCTTTCTGATTGCTTCACAGGCAGTGACTTATTAAATAATAAAGAGGCAATAATGCACACCTGACCATAGAACAACAGAGCAGCCATTCATACACTTGATTTGTATGTGAAATTTATGGTGCTATATTATAAGTTAAGCTTCAGCCAAATGCTTCAAAACTCACTGGACTGCGCTTTACAGTGCAAATGGACAATGACCCGAAACGTTGCAGAGGCAAGCCAAGACTTTTTTAGGACAAAGTAAAAAATGTTCTGCAATGGCAGGATCACCTGACCCCAACATAACTGAGCATATATTTCACTTAAAGGCAAAATCAAAGGTAAAAAAGTCAGGAACTGAAACAGCAGGAAAGGCCTGAAGAGCATCACCAGGCAAGAAACCCTGCGTCTGGTGATGTCTATGGGATCCAGACTTCAGACAACCAAGTATTAAAAATCTCAATTTAATTTATATTTCTTAGTTTGTACAATTACTCTTGAATCCCCAACAATGAGGAGGGGGCTACGTACAAAAAAGATTGCAATTCCTACACTGGTTACCTGATTTATATATAAATATCCTTAAATTACAGCTGAAAGAGTGCACGTTGAGCTTATATTTGTTATTTGCTTTTAATTCCAATATGCTATTGTAGACAAAAGAGAATAAACAAATCGAGGGAGGACAGCACTCATATAATTCACAAAATATTTTTGAAAAGCACGGGCGTGTTTCGGAACACAGTCTTCCTCAGCAGGCAAATAGTGTTCAAGGGACCAACACACTAAATAGGGTAACTAGTTACATGGACCACGCAGCAAACCAAAAAGACAAATAATTAAGTGAAATTAAATTAAACAAACAGAAAAAAATCAATTTTTACTCAACAAATAATAATAACAGACAGCTAAAATAAAACTTTACTGAAGGCCAAATATCTGTGGGACTGTGACACTTGGGGCAACTTTGGGGGTTTACTTCAAAATGTGTTTATTCATGTATTAATATATCCACTGATTCAGAATATACCTGCAAACACATAAGTGTAAATACTATGTCAGTATTTTGTCTCATTGATGTAAGAAGGATGTTACTTTACAATCTGTATTTCACCACATTCCTGTAGAAAGGTTTGAAAACAGACTTGTTCTCATTCCAGTGGAACGTACAGGAGTAGAGGCCAGGAAAGCAGGAAAGGAGAATGGAGGTCAACAACTACGCTGCATCGTGGCTGTTTCAAAACATAAATGTCACTGCATTCAAAAACTTGTTCTATATTCCACTCGGAGAAGTTATAGTTACCTGGACACTTTTTTCATTGAACTCCCAATTGTCTGTATGTCCATGTATGGACTGTCATGACCAGGACAGACCGTGTTGTTCCTGTGTTTGTCATAAACCTTCTCATCTCTGATCTTATTTAGATTATATATGTTATATACATTCTTCCAGCGACTGCAGGACTTTTTCCTGTCTTCTGTATTTACAGTGTTGGCACAATAGCTAGTATTGGCTTCATGGTGTGTATCTCTTTTGAAAGATATGTAATGATCACATCCCCTGTTTGGTATCGATTGTGTCATTCATTTAAGTTCTCCTGTTTTATCTGCTTGTTAATTTGGTCTTTATCCCTCACTGAAGTAGGGATTTGCATTGTAATCATGAAGGGAGGAAATGTGGAGAATTTATACGCTGTGTCAGTGACTTTTTTACTTCTCCTATACCCTCTGGTTGTGTTTTCCTTTTTTGGTTCTTGGAGGGCTCTCTCACTCAATCTCCGCCCCCCTGAAGAACAGAAGAGGATTCTAAGAATCCTGGTGCTTTTACTGTTCAGCTATACTGTGATGTTTCTACCCCTTATCATTTTAAGCACATTATTCTCTGTGTCTCGTGAGAATGTAAAGGAATCCTTAGCGGGAGACCTGCGAATAGCGGCAGGAGTCTTGATATGTCTGAATCCACTTGTTGACTGTTTGATGTATGTGTTTATGAGAAAGGATGCCAAAGGAATACTGAAGTATTTCTGTTGTGTGATGCCTGACAGAGACAGGAATCAAACTCTAAACACTGCTGTAGACAGACGTGATGCAGAGGACAATGAATGAGACTAAAGAAGAAGACAGCTTTGTTGTATTTTAAGCAGCTTTGTCTCAAAGAAAGGTCATGGAAAGCAGTCTGAAACCCGGCTTTATATAACATCATTTTAACCTATGTAACTTTTTTAGTTAGTAAAATGTTGAGAGGTATTATGAAATGTTATTGTTACCCTATATAGAAATGCTTGTAATTTTATTATTATGTCATGTGTGTATATATCCCATTATGAAATCTTCTTATTGCACTATATAAAAATGTATGTAATTTTTATGTTTATATAATCAGTTGCATTTAAAAAATGTAAATGAGAAATAGCCATTCAGCCAGTCCATTGAGTAAAATGGTCTGTAGCTCCCAGTCTAAGGTTTAAAAGACACAGATGAGTGACAAAATAATGGAAAAAAACCTGAATAAATGAGTTGAGTGCCAATGTTTGCAGACAGGTGTTCTGCATGATATAAGTGAGCAATTAACATCATGTTCTGTGGCATGTATAAAAATGCAGAGCAGGCCTAGTTGACCTTGAATGTAGATCAAGATGCAAGAGAAAAAGAATTCATTATTGGGGCAGCGATAGCAGGAGCTTAAATGTCAAATATTCCTCAACTGGCTAGTGTTTCAAGAGGAAGACTGACTAAAAATATCTGCATTTAGTGCTGGAGGAAAACCAGTAGTAGGGCTGGAAATTGTGGTCTAATACTTGTCCATTAGTGTGATATGTAAGGACAAACAGAAGAGCATCTGTATGTCAATGCAAGATGTGATCAGACTGTCCACAACTACACAGAGAGGGATATTATGATAGGGTTGTGGTGCATAAACTCCTCACAGATCAATTAAAAGTTATGGAAGAAAAAATAAAACCTCTTGAAACATTTATATCCTGATAGGAATTGTCCCTTCCAGTATGGCAGTGCTGCATCCACAGGGCACAAGGTGTTACGGAAAAAATGGAACTTGCAATCTTTGGTGATTATCTTCATTTTTAATTAAAAAAAGGGATACAAATAATATAAAAAGCAACACATAGATCTCCAGAATGAGAACTGCTAAACTTGTGTTTATATCATCTCTAATGTTCTAAAATGTCAGAAAATAAAAAAGAACATATTAAGATGCCCCAATATAAGGTTGTATAAGAGCACGTAACACTAAACTCTTATTGAAAGAGAAATTTTCCCCTATATGTGGTCATTACAATCATAAGAACACAATCAGGGATACTTTATTATAATGTTAAGAGAATATTGATGACGTCAGTGTAATATATACAACTTGATAAGCAAAAATAAAATAATGTAATCAGTGCAATAAACTTTAAAAACTGAATTTGATGAGGTTTGTAGAAACTTCAGGTAAAAGTTATCACAACACTGGTTTCAGTGGAAACTACTTAAGCTTTGTCTGTTAAAGTTAAAGGCTTACAGGTATTAAAGACAAATAATTACAAACAACTAAAACAAATTTTCAGAAATGTATTTGTTTGAGGCAACGAATTTCCTCAGTAATGTATGGAAGTCTGTTTCCAACAGATAGAGAGGGTAAAAAATGGCTAAGATATTTTTTGTCCTATGTTTATGACAGCAGCAGGTCACATTTTGGACATAATAAAAATATAATAATGACTTCTGGTAATCTTGTAATAACGATTTATAATCATTCTTGAAATGTAATGACTCTTAGTTTGATACAGATACTAATATTTAAGAAAAGTCATAATATTGAGATATTAAGTCAATATTTAGAGAAAATAGGTTATTATTTCAAAATGCTAAATCAATATTTTGACATACCGCTGCCAGAATCAGAGGAAGGAGTGGAAAAATGAGCTTTCAGAGCAAAATGAACCGAACCGAACCGAACTGAACTGATCACAGTTTACAGTGTACAGTCTGTACTGGCATCTGCTGTGATAACCACGTGGAATGTGGAGGTGACGATACTCTGTTGACACATCTCCAAAAATTAAATAAACAAGTGAACCGATTATTTTTCATACCATAAACTAATTATCAAGTCTTTTGATCTGCACGCGGTGTTACAGGGGGAGGAATAACGAATATGTGCCGTGCAGGCGGATCTGAGTGGTGGAGTTGGGGAACTAGGGAAAGAATACGGTTGCACACGTTGTCGGGGGTGTGGCTACTGGTCTCCATGGAAACAGTACACACTTCACGGAGCGGGAGCATCGCGGCTGCGTCTCTGAGCGGAACCAGAAAAATGCAGACGAAGCGGAGCGACGCGCCGCTGAGCGCCGGGCACGGAGATCAGACCGACTCCGTGAGGAAACACGCTGGATATGAGTCTCCAACACGAGGTAGCCGAGCGTCGTTATAACAGCGTAACTAACCCTAACACGGCCTCCGGCTCAGTGACGTTAGCCAGCTTTCTGTCCTTTAACGATTCGCAGAGGAGTGAAGTTTCACTAGCTGGCGTTTTATTCATTCATAGCTTCTGCTGTTTAATCTAGAGCACAAATCTGAGGTTAAAAACGGCGCCCTCGAGGAACCACGACGAACAGATGGGGGCGTTTCAGAAAAAAGTGACGTTACGGAAGATGACGGTGTGAAAAAGGCAGCACCAGAGCCCAGAAACATGACAGGACCCAGGTGATGTGCTGCTCCCGGAGGCACTGCTGTGTAATAGAAATCAACATATTTAGAGAAAGAATGACAAACAATGCCGCAGTGCATGCTGGTATTAAGAGTGTATTCTGAGGGAACTTTTCATGATGAAACAAAAATTATCTTTGTGTCCCACATTTTGTAATTTCAGCCACACTGAAACTTCCTCGGCTCTTTTGTTTTACACAGTTCTTCCATCTATGAAATCTAAAATAAGAGAACGGGATGCAGTCTAACCCCTTTTAGTCCTGTGGCGTTTGTTTATGCAAAATACCATATTGCACTTTTATTAAATGTGGAGGTGAATTTTTATGTTTTTGTTGGCTTTGTTCAGAATTACTAAGGCGTTTTTAAGGGACCATTGCAAACGAAACAAACTGTACCTGACACCTTGGCTGAACGACACACTGTACCTTCACTTTAAAGGTTTGAACTTTTGCATGTAAGCTACGGAATGTGGTGTTAGTTTTTGTCATTATATATCTGTTATATATAAATATTTTGTTATTGGTGCATACATTGAGTTGTTTTATCACGACTTTGTTATAGGTTTTTCTGTTATCGAGGGCTTAGAGGAGTATACAGGCTTGCGCTGTCTCTGGCTTGAGTGCAATGGGATTGAGAAAATTGAGAACCTGCAGAACCAGACGGAGCTTCGCTGCCTGTTCCTCCAGCAAAACCTGATTCACACTTTGGAGAATCTTGAACCACTCAGCAAGCTTAGCACTCTCAATGTTTCAAACAATTACATAAGAGTCATCCAGAACATAGGTGAGCTCACACATCCACCCACACCCACATCAAATACATCTTACCTTCACCAGGAACCTTGACATATACCTTCTCTCTTTTTCAGCATGTTTGAACAAGCTGTCCACACTACAGATCTCCCATAATGCATTGGAGAGCGTGCATGACATAGAGGAGCTCTGTTGTTGTCCGTCTATCAGTGTTCTGGACTTGTCACACAACCGTCTCAATGACCCAGAAATGATCACGATTCTGGAGAAGATGCCTGATTTGGTACACAAACTTGGAAACATCTTCTAATGTACACTGCATCATAAATACTGTGAAATGTGAAACTGCTGTGAACCCCAGTGATTATTGTGTGTTTGTCTCAGAGAGTGCTGAACCTTATGGGTAATGAAGTTATAAAGAAAATTCCAAACTACAGGAAGTCGCTGATCATTCGCCTAAAGCAACTGACATATCTGGATGATCGTCCAGTGTTTCCAAAGGAAAGGTGAGCATGTCACAGTTATGTGACAGGTTATGAATAGCTATCTCTGATAATTGGCTTGTATGATGAAGTGTAGTATTGTAAAATCTGAAACATCTAAGTTATGACATCGGATTTTCTTTGACTCTTGTTTTATAAGGACATGTTTCTATTTCATATGAAAGCCTGTCTTGCTGTTGGCTGACCAAATAGCATTTGGTCGTGTAGCAGTACATTATAGCGTCACTGTGTCCTGCATATCATTGCTGTCAGAACAAAACCTTTTGTCCATTTTTGTCATTTTGAAAGTTTTTGCAGTTCATTTCCATTGTATTAATACTTTATGGTCCAAAGGTCAATACAAATGATACAGAATTACTTTTGATCAAAATGAATTGTTCCATTAATGTTTGAATTGACCATTCGAAGTTCAGAACGTTTTTCCTTTGTTTGTAAGGTTACCATTTTGGAGATAGTGTGCAACAGCGACAATATGCGTGTACTAGTGCATTGAACTGATGTATATGTTTAAGCAGAAGTTGTTTGTACAAATCAAATTAATCAGAAATTGGCATTTGCCCACAATAATACAATCAAAAAAGATTTTTACCTTTTTAAAATTAAGAGTTTATTTAACAGCTTTGTCATCTACTGTGTTGAGTTGTGCAGTGCCACGTGGTATACTTTTGCAGCATGAGTTTTGGAAAGGAAATTCATATATTCTGCCCTGGTATTTACAAAATGTGTACATCACTATAGGGCATGTGCTGAGGCTTGGGCAATAGGGGGTTTGGAAGGAGAGCGGAAAGAAAGGGAATTCTGGCAAACAAGAGAGAGGAGGAAGATTCAGGAGAGTCTGGATGCTATGGCAGCTATTAAAGAAAATGCACGAAAGCGGAGGCAAGCTGAAGAGCAGCAGGAAATGGGCAAGTAAAAACACATTAGATTAGATTAGATGCAAGAATACATCATTTTTTCCTTTGTCTTGTTCATATTTTGATGTGTTGCCATGTTACATTTTTATGATTATGAAATAGCAGGAGTCCCTGAGCTTCAAAGTCCTGCTACTGAAGGGCACAACAAGCTTGACAAGTCTGCGTTAGACATAGAGCCAAGTGGCCAATTAAAAACAGACCAAGAGCAGGCTGACATGTCAGTATCAGAGATGGAGTACACTCATTCTTCAGTAAGGGACAGCAGAGAGATGCTCCAGTCAGCCCCAGAACGAGAGCAAACTGACCAGTTACCGCAAGAGCAAGATTTGGCTAACCCGTCAGGGGCAGAGATGGAGCCAATTACATGTCAGCGATCGGCAGTGCATGGAAACGAAGTACTCCAGTCAGCATTGGAAACTGAGCTTCTTCAGTCCAGATCAGATGCAAACAAAGCTGTGCAACCGGCATCTGAGAAAGAGGAGGTTTTGAAGTCAGGACCATCTCTGAAGTTAACGTCAGAGGGAAATCTGAAGAAGAAACATGATGCACCTTTGTGGTCAGGATCAGAGTCTGAGGATCCACTCCTAAAAGCTGGCACAGGTGGCCCTGTTACTGAACTTGCCCCAGATGATAAATTAGAGACCATAGTACTATCTGACATCCCATCACTGACTATCAGTGTGAGTTCTCACATTCAATTCTAGTTAATGAGTAGAGTTAAAAGTGGTCTTCATGAAGTTAATAGCATAATTCTCCGCAGGATCTACCTGATCTGGAGGATGTGAATTCAAACTGGATGCAAACAGTGCCTCAGGTACAGTAAAACTGCATTTCAACAGTCTAGCATAGCACAGTTTAACATGTATTTGTTTACACAATGGTCATTGCTGAGCTAAGTAAGTCTGATGTACGGTAGCCGAGAAGACCCAACAAACTGCAAATAAAAAGGAGCTGCCAAATGCAGAAAACACTTTCTTCAAAATGACAACATGGCGCTGCATTTTACAAATGCGCTGAACATTTGTAGACACTCTGCAAACTCAGAAAGCACTTTCATCAAAATGACGACACAGATGCTACATTTTGATTAATTAGCTGTAAATACAGAAAACACATGCAACTTAAGAAATACTGATAAACTCGTCACAACACAACGGAGATGTTTCTGGAAAACAGTCAAAGAGGACGGAGCCATTCAGACACAGCACAGACATTCACCAGTAAAATTAAGCCAACTTTATATTTGAGCAGATTACTGCTGTCACTGCATCGTAATGGGGATTAGCTATAGAGTGTAACTGTTCAGGGTTTGACTAATAATGCAAGAGAACTACCACAGTACAGCTGTGACATGTCAGATAGCAAACTAGCCAGCCAGGTTAACCATGAACTCAGGATGTGAGTGTCCGAGTGTCTGTGGTCTTCTTCTGTTAGCAATTTTCCATCATAGATATTCCATCCCCTTTGAGTCTTTCGGAAACATCTCCGTTGGGTTGTGACTGGCTTTGCAGCGTGTCTGAAGTTGCATGAGTTTTCTTTATTTGCAGTGCCTCTGTGAAATGTAGCTCCGATGTAGCCATGTTGATGAAAGGGTTTTCAGTATTTGCAGCATGTTTTTATTTGCAGTTTGTTAGGTCTTCTCGGCCACCATACTCACGCAGTATATAACAAAATGTTTCCTTTCGCAGGCTATCTTCCATCCAAAAATTGAGGTCGTCTCTGCCACTGACAGTGACTTCCACCCAGAGGTGATGCTGTGTGAAGGAATTCAATCTGGATTAAAGTTTCCTGACCCGATCTTTGGGGTATCTACCAACATCATGTCAATCATCGATCACAGTTTTCTTTTCACCAATGAGGCAGTACCAATAGCGGGTCCTGATGCCCCACCCATTGCAAAAGAAAGCAAAAAAAACATCACCCTGATTGAGGAGATGGACTGACTCTGTTACATTCAATACACTCTTTGTTTAATGACCGAAATGTATGATTGTCTCAGCAGTAATATTTCAATGTTTATGACTTGTTATAGGAATGATACTCTTGTAGCAGCAGGTATATGCAATTGACTGAAAAACTTATTCAGTGAAGTTCATAAAATTCCATGACATGATACTTTTTAAAATGTCCCTCATATTGTCCCTCAAGACACATATCACCACAAATAAAAAAAGACTTAATAGCTTTTCTTGATATATTTATTTAATTTTTGTCACACTGATACACTTAAAACAGCTTTGTTTCTGTCTTATCACACCATCTGTGCTAACACCAGTTCAGTGTTCTCTGTCATAATATTATCAAATTGCTTGCTACTTCCTCAGCTAAAATGGATAATTTAGGTTATTTTCAAATAACATTCAGCCTAAAAAATGAAAGAGACTACTCAATAGTGGCCTAAGACCTGGAATAACTATGTCAACATATTAATAAATACAAGACAAAAGTCTGCTTGAACAGTTTTACCAACATTTGACTTTTAATGCAAATCAATTAAACATCCATTCACATCCCAAACTACATTTGGGCAGTTTCTGACCAGACACTATTTGTGTAATGGACCATTCTCAACAGACATGGTAGCTGACGTGATGCTGGTTATTGTCACTGCTAGATCGAGAGTGATCTGTCATCGAAAACATATTCAGCCAGAATCATTTCTACAGTCAGAAATTGACCATTGATGAAGGGCTAGCAGAAGACTAACTCAAATTACAAGCCATCAGACAGCCTGCATTCTCTGACTGTACAAGAGTAACACGAACAAGAGATGGCCTAATGATGTCTGGCAACTAAAAATACAAATGTGTAATTTAAGGGCTGTATGGAAACAAAAGGGTTAAATTCTTCAAATTGTGAGTGGAAAATTGGCCAGTCGGAAATTGGGTTTTTTCCATGATATCTCGATATAGCTAAGCTGAAAAAAAGCAGCAGAAATTAGCACTACCATGGAAATGTTTTTTTCTCATGTTTTCACCGAGTTTTGACATTTACAGCTTAAATTTAAGGCCTAGCTCTAAAAGTCACGGTTCACCACTGGTTCCTAATAAACCTATTTATTGTAACAAATTGGCCTCTGGGACTAGCACTGTAGGAACTGTTCTCCCTCTGTTCTTGAATTTCTGTTGCTGGCATTGCAGCATAAAACCTAAATCTATCAGGTGTTAAGATTTAGAATTTCATACAACAAACATATGACACATTAAATTTAATTTAAAGAGCAGAGATTTTAATTTTGTTACCTTGCATATCTCACTATTATGTATATAATTTACACTGCCTGTTGTCTATTACTAGCAAAACGGGCTTGTAGTCTGAGCTGATGTGAGGAGCTACTATCGGACCAAAATGAGAAACATGCATGTCAGAAGCAACTGCACAGAGTGGGTGTGGTCTCTGCTTGCAGCAAGTCCTTTTAAAGACTCCTGATTGGTCTGGTCAGTACTGGGTAGAGTCTGGGAAGGTTTCAGGGTGGTACCTTGAGTGCGGCTGGCACACATTTCGTAAAGGTTCCCAGAAAACTGTGTTCGGCGAGACTCCGCTCTTAAGGACTCCCATACCTCTGCCGCATCACCACGGCAACCTGACAGCACACCACTCACACACACCTGGAAGGCATCCCAAGATCTACAGAAATAAAGCACAAGAGACAAATTGATAAAAATGCTACTTTTTATAGACATCACTAAAATCCCTTGTCAAAAAAGAATCTGTGTTCTAACTGACAGTATTCCACATGTTCTGGATTAAAAATATTTTTCGCACAAATGTTATGATATGACACTGACATGGTAGCAGGATGTTAGATGTGCTGCACAGAGTGGATATAATTTTTAAACAACTCAAGGCTGAATATAGCAGAACATAATAAAATAGGCCACCAACCATGAATATGCAGTGGACACAGTATCCTGTGACTAGAAACTGGCCACTGATGAAGGACTAGAGGATGACTAACACAAACTGCAGCAACAGATGTGCTGTCATCCCTAACATTAAATCTACAAGGAGGGTCAATACAGTAGGTGCGCCTAATAGAGTGAACATGAAATGTACACAGTAGGGATGAGCAATATGGTAAAAGTACAATATCACGAGACATTTGAAAAATATATAACACATCACAATATTTCATTTTTCTGTTTTCATAAGACAAAAAGCAGCAGAAATGCCACATTAAGAAAACTATCAAGAGCTATGACTAAAATCATTTTGATATTCAGTGTTTCACTCACTGCACTAATTCTATTTAAGTACACGCAGCTGTTCAGTGTTCTTTAAGTACTGACAATGTCCACTATTTATACAATGTTTAAAAAATGTAGCCGCACTGCTGTGTTTAATCACATCTACCAACACACACACACACACACACACACACACACACACACACACATGCAATATATTGCCACTGATGAGAGTAAAGTGGAGCAAATATATATATTTCTTGTTCCAGCACATTACAGGTAAGTGCAACACCTTGAACTAAATTAAATGTTCCTAAAACCATTCCTGAACAACATGTGGTGCATTATCCTGAAATAGGCCACTGCCGTCAGGGAATAACATTGCCATGCAGAGGTGTGTCTGCTATGCAATAATGTTTGGCATGTGTTTAATTGATGTCGACATGAATGCTTGAAGTTTCCAGCAGAACACTGACTAAAGCATCTTACTCCCTCTGCCAGCTTATCTTCTTCCCACAATACATCCTGATGCCTTCCCCAGGTAAACGGCACACATGTACCCAGTCGTCCATGTGATGTATCAAAAATGGAACTCATTGGACCAAGTAACCTTATTCCAGTTCAGTTGCTTGTGTGCCCACTGTAGGTGCTTTCAACAGTGGACAGGGGTTAGCATGGGCTCTCTGACTGGTCTGTGGCCACACAGTCCCGTGTGCACTAGGGTTCTGTGACTTGTGCCGCAATAGCCCTTCTGTCGGTTTGGGCCAGATGGGACAGCCTTTGTGGCCCTTGCACTTCAATGCGCATTGGGCGCCCAACACCCTGCCACCGGTTTGTCCCTCCTTGGACCACTGTCAGTAGGTACTCACCACTGCTGGCCACAAGCCTTGCCTTTTTGGAGATGCTCTGACACAGTCACCTGACCATAACAATTTGGCGCTTATAAAAGTCGCTCAGGTCTTCACATCTGCCCAGTTATCCAACATCCAAAACAACAACTATAAGAACTGACTTTGCCTACTGTCCTTCACACACACCGCTGTTATGAGATAATCAACGTTATTCACTTCATCTGTGAGTGGTCAGAGTGTTTGGCTCCCTCATGTAAACGTGTGTGTCTGTGTGTGTGTCAGGTGTGGCTCACTTGCAGATGGAGTTGATGTCCTGAATGTTGTCAGTCTGGCTGCTCACACTGTCTCCCAAAGTAACTAGACACTCTGCAAAGCCCCTGTACACAGAGCTACAGAGAGGAGTAACTGCTGCACCCAATGCAGAACAACAGAGATCTGACAGAAAGAAAGAGAGAAGCAGATATGTCAGGGATTGTTATAAACATGAGAGTGCATTTTTGTAGTTATATAATTCAGAATAAATAATTCAGACTGTATATATTCAGTCCTCTGTGGGTTGTTGGGACTCGTCGCTGTCCAAAAAAGCCTCAAAAACGGTAACTTTGCAGGAGACGGCAAAAATAGCTGATTCTGGAGCATTTCTAATGGTCCATTTGTCCCGAAATTGCTACACAATGTAAAGGAGAGCAGTCATGCTCAAATGTTAATTAGAAAAATAAAAATCAACAAAAAATGAACAGTGATGATGTATGACAACATATTTCTGTTCAACATCATTATAACACTGAAAGAGCTGGCAGGCAATCAGCAGTTTGGTAGCTCTTTCCTGCTTGTCTAACTGTGCTTCCAGAGCAATGAGACAAAACGTCTATGATATTGAGTGCTACTGAAACGTATAATTTTTTGCCTAAAAATAAAATGCTTCTCATTTATCTGATAACCATTAATGTGGAGTGATTTGTGCTTTGTGTTTTATCACATTGTGTTTGTATTACAGTGAAAATAAAGGTTGTATGACTACATGACCATGGTTATGTATTTGAGCTGATCTGTGGAGAGAAATGCACGTCAGTGGGAGTTAATCTGGGGATTACAGCCATAGGCCAAACCTCATCTAATCCCACTGCACACCAGCTCGTAAACACAAATCTCTCCATTTGCCTGCTTTCTGTCTTCCTGCCCTCCCATCCAGAATCCTTTTGATGCTTATGTGCAGATTTTTTCCATTTTATTATGTTGTGATGTGTTATCTTGATATAATGAACATGGTGCTGGAGAAATGTCTTGGGTGTAACAGATGGAGAAACACGTACAAGCAGCCTTCTTCTCCTAGCAGCCATGGTTTTGTGGCTTTTCTGGCAAAAGCCCTATGGCCATATATTAAAATACAAACTTTAATATAGTGCAATGAACTTTAGGTACACAGCCTGATATAGTTTGTTAAATATTGTTCAAGTTACAAAATGTATCGTTCACTCTGCAGTTCATATACGGAAACTAAGATTTGAATTCATTGTTTTTGTGATGTCACAAAAACCAGCACAAATTCATATCTCTGCCTGTTCAAGCTTACACCAGTTTAGCCTGGCCCTCTCCCACTGAAGTCATAAGGAATGTATCGGTCCAGACTGCTTGTTGAACAAAACTGCAAAATGGCAAGTTTTGAATTCACTGTTTTAGTGATGTCAACACATATTCATATATCTGCCTATTCAAATCTACAGCAGTTTACCCTTGTCCACTACCCCTCGTTCAAGTTATAAGGAGTGTTTCAGCCTGAACTGCTTTTTGAAATGAGGCACAATACATGACAGCCAATCGGAACAGAGGTCATTTACATACATTAGTCATAAAGGCACAGTAACAAAAACAGCTTGTGTAATACTAAAGGATAAATAGGGGGTGGGAAAATTAATTTTGAAGGTTTTTATAGGTTTTTGGGGGAAAAATCAAAAACAAAAAGCAAGATATGGGCTCTAAAAATAGAATGTGTTCTGTATTTAAATATGCACCAAATATTTTTATTTTATTTTTTATTTAACTTTTAAGCCATTAAGAACAAATTCTAATTTACAATGATAGCCTGGCAAGTATCAAACCACACTGGTAGGGAAGGATATAAAAAAAAAACACAACAACAAAATATGGCAAAATTTAAGACACATTTTATATCTTTTCTTTTCCAATATGTTGAACAAATAAATAGAAAGCAAATATATAGAAAATGTACTCCAATTTGCAGAAAAATGCCATCTATATATTTGTACCCTGCAGAGGATGTGTTAACTTATTTTCTCTTAAAAAATCACCATTGTAACTATGTTGTAATATTGCAGTACCTTATTAAGAAACTTACACCAGCAAACCTGGAAATGTGTGGCTATTAATGCACACACACCCACCCACCCACACACACACACACACTGGAGATCAAAAGGAATTTTACTCACTGAGACAGAGTGAGATGAACAGCAGCTGATTCATTCCGTTGTGAAGCCTGAATCTTGAGCTTAATGAAAAATACTCATCATGTCACCTTAGGCCTCTGTAAAAAGGCACAGTAGAGTTTGTAACAGAAAAGAAAACATACAAACTGTACATAACGGAAAACCAGTGTAACTTCTCAGTACAGACCTCAATGCTGTACCAAGCACAAGCCTTCTGGAAGTGTCTTGCCTGCTCCTGTTTCCCAGAACAAAATCCAGCGTTCGAGACAACCATGCAAGTGTAATAGATCAGGAAGGATTGTGGTAGCATCAGATTATAAAAAAAAAATGGTGGGATTAAAGATCATTTCCGGTTGCATGATGCGTCATGAGAAAGCTGCAGTGCGTCCACGTATCTCACAGGATATTCTTTCAATCTATCTGTGTCTTTATTCTGTTACACATACGATCATATGCACAGAGAGAAAATTTTGACACAGTATTTTCTTCATTCACAGAGACACAAACACACTCACATAAGACCTTGATATTGTTTGACTGACAGGCTTGGATTATGTCATTGCATAAATCTACTGGGAGAAGAGAATAAAGCCAGATTAGGATAAAAACCACCCTCTTTTTTATCTCCCACTCTGTATCGCTTAACAGTTCCTAGCTGTTAAACAGATCTGTTTTCTCTTTAAACGTCGCTCCATGTACACTAGTGTTCAAAAGTTTGGAATCATTTATCATAGTCACAAGTGCTGTAATTTATTTCAATATTAACTTATCCACTGTAGATTAAAATACAGTAAGCTAGTCAGCAGATAGCATTTCAAGATGTTTCATTTGATATTTCAAGTTTTTCGGTACATCAAAAAATAATTAAAAAGACATAAATAAATAAATAAAAAAGTAGTGTGGCAAAACACATTGTTTCAAAAATACTAAAAAAAATGTAAAAAGGGTCTGGCTGAGTGATGAAATGTTTTCTTTATAAACCTTTTTCAGAGGTGGGTAAGAACTAGTTACATTTACTCAGGTACATGTAGTTCAGTAAAATATTGATAGATTTTCACTTGATTTCCCTGAATATTTTCAAATCAGATTACTTTTACTTCTACTAAAGTGAGTAAAGGAATCTTTTTACTCAGTTACATTTTAGCTATTTGTATTCACTCACTGATCCCATTTTTTGTGTTTACTTTCAATATGTTTTGAAGGTGGCAATATCTTTGACTTTGGAGCTTTTCATTTTAGACTACAAGATTCTCAGAAACAGAAGAACAGAGCTGCACGATCTTCATTCCATATGCTGTTAAATGCTAGATGTACTAAGAAGTTCCACTGCAGTACTGAGTACTTAAGTAGATTTTTGACTACTTAAGTTGTTTTGGGGAAGATGCTTTTACTTGTGTAGTTATTTTATGCAAGTAACAATACTTTTACTTGCATATTAATTTGGGCAACTCTCCCCACCTCTAACCCTGATCATGAACAGCGTCAGTGTTTGTTTTGATGCTGCTTCAGTAGCTGCAGCCTCAGATAGCAGTATTTGTTAGCTAACATCTCTGCAGAACATCAGGCTGTTTTCATTCCCAGTTCATTTTCAAAAGATGCACCACAGTTTGTTTTTCTCTTTCCTTTGGTTCAGATGATGGACTGCAAAAGCTAAAGTGGACTAAATTACACATGTGGGTGTTTTTTACTGATCACAGGTTTTGCAGTGATGCAAGTGCTTTGTTGCATCAGAAAACAGAGTTGTTTATCATCTTTGATATCCCCATTAGCTGCTATCGCGATAGGTGCTATTAACTGATCCCCATTAACTGCTATTGTGATTGCTGCTATTCTGCCTGGGGTCCAGTAGACATACCATACATTACAAAATGGTGCAATAACAAAACGGAAGTAAAAAACAAAAAGGAACTGAGAGAAAACAAAACACATCAAAAATGAAAACTAACATAGTAGGACAATTTAAAACAAAAAACAACAGTAAAATGATGACTGAAAACGGAAAAATCACACTGAAAGTAAAGGTCATTTGGTGTATCTCACAGAGACCTAACCAACTCTATTCTGGTAAACATTTACATCCCTGCCCACCATGAAACTCCACCACAACATTGTTCCAACAGTCAAGGACCGATCTATTGAACTGATCTTGAAATTTATTAAATAGTGTTTTGTTTTTCAGTTATTTTAGTTTTAAAGTTATTCTACCTTCAATTTTAAGCAGTGAGGTAAGTAGTGAATTCCACTCCCTTACAGCTCTATAAATTACTCTTCCACACATAGTCAGTTTTTTGAAGTAATTTGAAGTAATTTTTGCTGTATATCTTGTTGTATAAGTTTCTCTACCTGCTACCTAGTTTTGCATTATTTGCAGTTTCATCAAATGTTTCTTTGGGGCGTTTGACCATACTGCAGCACAATGGTCTACATTACAAAGTACTGGTCCGGACACTAGTTTTAGTGGCCTCAGTTTTAAAAATGCTGCACATCTCCTTATAACTGATAAGACTTTTTCCATTTTTTAAATTATGTTCTCGATATGTTTTGACCATGATAATCTACTGTCACTAATCTAATGATGTTTAATTTCTAAAATATATTAATATTAATAAATAATTAATATATTAATTTGCAGCCTCAATAAATTAATTTGTGGACACAAAAATTTAACTCGTGGCCTCTACTCTGTCACCTTAGGGGCTCCGCAGCCTTAAGACTGGTATAAAAGATGTAATTCACAGTAAAAGAACTTCTTGTTCTGATGGCTGCCCTGTGTAGAGTAAACATGAACGGTGGCTATACTGCCGGGTGGATGATGCATCCAGTCAGCATAGAAGCAGCTAGTTTTACTAGTCATAAATATAAAAAGAAAAAATATGATCAATAATGATACAATATTGTTGTGTTTGAGACTGTAATGTAAGAGGTGTGGACTCGAGTCATATGAGCTGGACTCAAGTCACAAATTTGAGACTCGACTCGCTAAAATTGAAAAGACTTGCGACTCAGACTTGAGGCTTATGGCTCTGAAAGACTCGAGACCCAAAGTGGAAGAGATGTGGGGAGGAGTCAGACTGCAGACTGCTATGCTGTCGGTTACTTTTAATATGAATGGATTTGTTTCCTGCCATAAATTTGATATACAGCAGTTTTGTCAAAAGCCTGTTACTGTGCTTCGCCTCCATAAGCTTGAAGCAAGTAACACATCAATAAGCCCTTGTTCAGCTCCAGTCTTATTCAAAAAAACAGGTGAAATGACCGTTTTCCTCATGGTAGCAAAACAAAAGAAACAGAGCTCTCTCGCTCTCTCGCTCTCTCTTTTTGACCGATTTTAACAGTTTCTGTAGGTAAAACAAGCGTCGCATTCACCACGAGGCTGAAACTGACTTGTCAATCACCAGCTTCACATTCGAATTTACTCCAACGTTAAATGGTGCCGCAGTTACATTCTGTAAAATTTATTCAGTTTGGTCTTTTGGTTTTTGTTGTCAACTAAATTCAGTTTAAATCTAGTGTTTGTTTTTAGTCTGCTGAGCAAGTTTTAGAACTAAGCTAATTTTTATTTGAATCCTGTGCTCCCAATGCTCACAAAAATCATAAAAAATATTTTCTTCAAATATATATTTCAAAAGTTCAATAGTACTTTGAATATACACTTTGTGTATACTATGTCTGTTATGGTTATCCATCTACTGTGTATTTTATTGAATGTATTCCAATGTACTGAATGTATTGAATGTACTGTGGTCTTCATTATGCCCATATTAGGAACTCCAGGTCTAAGCTTCATTTCTCTTTGGCCAGAATGAATGGAGAAAAATTGCCTCAATTGCCCCCTGTGTTCAATAAAAATGTTCAGAACCCAATATGTTTTGTCCTGTGTACATTTTTGTCATGAATATCACTGGATCCTCTGAATTACAAGGTGGTTAATACTGATGCTACTGCATGTCAATCTGATCTCACAAAGCTCCATGAAACTAAGGTGAGCTGTGGTGGTGTTCTTGTTAGTTGTGCTACCTTATCGAAATGTTCTACCATAGTGCATTTATAGGTATGCTTGTAAATAAAACCTTTGGGTAGGACATTCTGATAGGCTAAAACACTGTGTTAAAACTATGTGTCTTAGTTTAGCTTCTTGTTTGCAGCATCTTGTCCAAGTTTTCCGTTACACCTTAAATGGCACTGCTGTTCAGAATGTAACTTCTGCACCACTTAAGGTGGAACAGGGAAATTTTAACAAGAAGCTGGTGAATGTCCTGAGAAATGTTACCAACATTTAAAAAAGTTGTCTACCTTCTTACAAAAGTGATACAATGTTGTCAAAAGAAGGTACTGTTTATGTTGTCTGAACAAGGTTGTCACAACATTGTCACAAACTTTTCTTCTTTCACAGGTGCTCCTGTGATTTTATTTCCATCTGAATCTGCTCTGTCTGTGTTTTTCTCCCTCATCTTCTGAGAAAATCACAGGCCGAATTACCTACTGTTTCTCAGTGAACTCAGTGCTGTTCTAATCATTTTAGCCCCATCTGTGTTCTTCCAGGCAGACGACACCTCAGGTTGGATAACCTACATTCAACATTAAACAGATCTATGTGGTAAATGTCAGTTAACAAAAAAATTCTGACACTGAATTAATGTGGATATGAGGATGATTTATGGTTGAAGTGAGAGGTATAGGTATATTATACTATCGTAATCTTTTTTCTCTTTTTACATTTATAGTTTTCCTCTTTTATGTCATTATGTGTTTAAACCTAACCCTTTTTCTTTATGAATGTGATTTTTAATAGTGTAAACTTTTCTATGTTCACCTATTCATTCCCCTTCCCACAACAGCAAGTCAGAGAACGAACAGGTGTGATACAGTAGATTAAAGAATTTTAGGACACATCATCAGTAGTGTACCTCAGAGTCATCAGGTGTTTTGGCCTTTAAACGCTATACACCCTCATCTGAGGTGACCAGCCATAGGTTGATCAAGCCCATGCTTGTGTCCCATGCCCGATTTAGTTATTTATTTTTAAGGTATTATATT